CTTGAAACAAAATTCAGCCTGCGCCACTGATCATTTCTGGTTGGCTCTGAAATGCAGAAGGGTATCACTCACTGAGCATCCATGTCTCTCTGAAGGGTTGTAGAGCAGGGATTCGTTCCCTCAGGACAGGACTTTTCACAGAAGAAAATCCGCTCCCACCACAGTCCAGGCTGGTGTCAGGGGCATCTGAGTGCTTCTGCATTTCTGATGTCCCTGCCACCTGCGAGGTGAGAGCCACTGCTGAGGGGCTGTTGAATTAGAATCAGAGCACGCTTTTCACAGCCGGAGTTGATGGTTGTGGGGATGGTGTCCTCCATTTTGGAACCAGGAGGAGAAGGCGGCTCAGAGTGAAGGCATTTAAAACAACAGGGCCAGTGCAGTGCTGCAGAAGGTGATTGTCAGCCCCAGAGTGGCTCCTCGGCGGATGCTGTACCCCTGCTGAAAAGAACATTTTTTCTGGCCCTGGCTTCAGCATGCCAGAACGCCTCTCCACCCTTCCTTATTTTTAATCATTGCTGCGTTTTTCTCTGATGGACTTTGCTGGCAAATGCCTGACTTAGCCTGCCTTGAAGTAAAGCTGGTGTTAAAGGCATGCAGATTTATTGGAGAGAAAAAGTTGATTTTCCTCCTGTTTCCTCCTTCCTCTCTTTCCAAAAAGGCTTAGGAAGGTCCCAGATGCATCTCATCCAAGCTTCCCCCTGAAATCGGTGCATCCAGTGCGCTCCCTCCAGATGTGCACACCAGATGGATTAGTGTTCCTTGGGAAAGGGAAGACCGTGTCTCACAGAGCGTATGCTACACTTTGGTCTGGCAGGAGCTGCAGGCAGTGGCAAGCTGGGATCACTGAGGTGGCTGGGCTGAGGATAGCACTTAGGCTGAGTTGTCTTACCCTGCCATTTAGTGTCAGCTCTGAACATCCCCTTGTTAGTGGCTGGGGCAGTTGCTCTGTGCTGGATCTGAGCTTTTCTCCTATAAAACAAAATGCTAACATGCTTTTCTTCTTTGAGACAAAACAGAGAATTTTTTCGCCTTGGATTTGCTAAAAAATGAAGAGCATCCCAAGGTTTAAGGCACCTGAAACTGCAGGTACTTGTGCAGAGGTTTCCAGTTGCAGCCTAGTAGACTGGGAGAGTGGACCGCTGAGATAAAAGGTGCCTGTATCCTTACCATTATGCTGCTGGCCTTGCTCTGTTTTTGTCTGGAAGTTGCAGCCGTTCCTCAGCCATACGTTGCTATGGAGGGTTTCAATTTTGGTGAAACCCAGGATGGGGGGAGAATAAGTGAATCTAGAGTATTCTTAAACAGATCAACTGTGCTAAGTGCTGAGCATGACACGATTGAGATACTTAGGCATTGGGAGCTAAATCACTGTAGACTTGTTTGATATTGGAATAAGTGAAGAAAACAGTATAAAATGTTTTAGACTCCGCCTAGCTGTTAACAATGTGTTACAGGAAACCAGCTTTACAGATGTTACAGTCTGCCCATATTTCATCTGTGAGAATGGAGAGGTGGCTGCTGCTGTTAGAAAGTAGTGAATTTACCCTAGCAGCTGTCTTGTCGAATTGCTGTAATTTCTGCTGGCTATGATGGTCGCAGCCTGTGTGCATTCACTGTGAACCTGGGGATGCTTTGGCAGAAGGAGGAAGGATGTGTCAGGAGTACATTGCAGGGAAGAGAAATAAGAAGGTTAAAAGACCTGGTTTCTGGCTACAGCTCATGCGCTGTGAGACCAAAGGGGTCTGTTTTTTTGTAGCTTCTGTTTTCTGTGTTTTCTGATAGCAGAGATTAATGTAAGAGTCTCTGGATTAAAATCAGCAGCCGTTGCTGTACAGGCAATTACCAGTAGTATCATTACAGTCCCTTTTGGCCTTGAATTGAGGATTAGGAGGAATATAATCTATTACATTTTCAACCTGCTTTTGTCAGTGGAGGTTTCTCATTTTTATGTGATAAAAAGTAAAGCTGCATGAGAAATCCATGTCCAGCCTTGCTCTGCATCACAAAGCCCTTTCTTGGTTCTGTTTAGCTGGTAACGCTGCTGTGGACTCTTCATGTGTAGAAACTGTAGACTGCAGAAGACATATCTATTTGCGGCCTTGGTTGTTCCCAGCCCTTGATTAGAGTCTATTATAAGTACTTGGCAGAGGGAGGCAAGTATTGCTATCTGTGTTTGGCAGCTGGGGAAACTGAGGCACAGAAGGAAAATGGTGCACCCAGAGAGTCTTGGAGGTAAGAAGAGATGTCAGCCTTTTCCCTGAGTAACATCCCTCTGGATCCTGCTAACATGACCAGAAGGCAGCTTGCAGTAGTCATGCTCAGGGTGTCTACATTTCCTAAGCCTTCAGTGATGTGAGCACTGAGTCTTCTCACCACCTAAAAGACTTGAGACCTGAAGTCTTGCTTCAGTGTTAACAATCTGGCATTTTCTCTGGACAAGAGGATTGTGTTACAAACAATCTTTATTGTGGATTTGATTGCCGCCTTGTACTTATTAAGTAATAAGCTAATTAACTGTCGGAATAACTGAAGGAAACATCCCTTATTCTTTGACCTGATACATGTACAGTGACCTCCTCATCAGGATGAAGTTTTATATCAGGGAGGGTGGAAGATAAGGTTTCTTACGGAGCCCTGTGGGCTAGTTTTGCTGGGCAAGGGAAAGAGCATGCTTTCCTTCTTGCTGGGTGTTTGTCCCTCACGTCCCAGCCACTGCTCTGAGAGGCAAAACAGAAGCTGGGAGCTGCCGTACTGTTTATTTCACTAAGTGGCAGATGCTGGCACTTCCTTTCTTTCTAAACTTACGGTGGTTTGCAGTAACATTGACTCTTGTAGTGCACTGGTTCCTAGCAGGGTGCAGATGTTTCTTGTCAGCTTTGGCCATCTTTCAGGGCTATAAATATTGCCTTTAATAAAGAGTAGTGGTAAAACAGGGCTGTGATTTATGAGCAAGGCTCTGCAAGTTGGCATGGCTTTTGAAGCAGCATTTGTACGTGGAAGGCTCGGTAGATGTGTTAACTCACCTGGTTATCCTTGTCAACTGTTAGAGCTGGGAGTTTGAAACCAGTCGTTCCTGATTTTAATGAACAAGGCGTTGGTTGGGGCGCATGTCAGAGGACTCTGAAATTTGCTTTCTTCATAAGTTTGAAGTAGACCAGATTTAGAGAATTTTGAACATTGGCTAGTGCTTTCGGAAAGGGCTGAGGAGGCATTTCCCACAATGGCATCGGGAGGGGCTTTTTTTGTTTTCTAGAGTAGCTGGTGGTCAATTATGTTAAAGCTGTTGGAATTATATTTACAGTATTAATTCCCTACTAGAACACTGAGATTGAGCCCCTTTTGTTATAGCACCTTATTATTTACACTAAAATAAATGCAAAATCAAATCCCCACTACCTGTAGTAACAGATTACATGTCTGTTTTCTCCAGATACTTGATGAAAAAAGTTGTACCCATAGTGTGGATATGTGGTACTTTCAATGTTCTAGGAGCACTAGGAGGATGGAAACAGAGATGAAATGGGCAAGTCTCCTTCCTGTAGGAGCACTGCACACCTGCTTCTCTTAAACCGTGCATGGGAAGAGAGGTAGGGCACAGGTGATGGTTTGTGTTGAAGGAGGCACACAGAAAAGCAAGGATTTTTATTTTAAGCTCATATTATATGAAAATCTCGTCTTTTTAAAGAGTTAATAAGTGGCTAGCAGCCATTTCAGTAAATGACTAGTTACTGGAGTGCATCGATTGGTTGTTCTAACTGTGGCTTGTCCAACCCGAAGATTACAGTGGTGTATGAAACCGTGGTATGTTGAAGTATTGTGTTTAAAATCATCTTTAACTCATACCACTCATATCTGCCCTGCGTATAACCCCTGCTGATCATTCACTAGCCCTGTGTAAACGAGGATTTAGTGGAAAGACTTTGTGTAGTGGTTTTTTTTCAAACAGGAATGCTGTCACATACACACACACGCACACAGCTGAGATTTTGCAAGAATTTTCATGCCAGTGTCAGAGAAAAGATTTTCCAAAGTTAAAAGCCTGCCTCTGTGCAGGGGTGTGTATGTGGGGGTGCATTTTCTGGTGTGGAGGGCTCTTGTCTCTTTGAGGAGAGAAGCAAAGCAGGCATACAGCTCAGCCAGAGCTTTCCTAGTGTAGTAGAGGTGGGAGGAATCTATAAATGCATGATTTATGTAAAGAGCCCTGGGATTGCCATGCTGAACATCCTGACTTTGAGCAGCCGCTGAGGGAAATTATTGCCACCACGAGAGAGCAGGAGGAAGGCAAGCAGTTCTCCAGGCTAGCCTGGGTGGCTTGTGTCTCTCTCTCCCATTCCCCAAACTGAGTTCCTTGCTCTGAGTCTTGCTTTTTCTAGTGGTGCCACCCTGTGGGATGCCCGCTGCTCATGGGCAGCACGGAAGCTGCTGAGACTTCTGCAGATGTTGTTTTAGATTTGGGGAGTTATATTGTTTCCAGGATAACGAGGGAAGAATGAGGAAGGGACTTGTGCTGAGTCAGCTTGGAGCTACTGAACACCCTGGCTTGCTTGCTGCATTTTCCCCTGGAAAATGGCTAATGGCCTGTTTTTACAGGGACCCCTTCAAGCCAAGCAAATGATTGGGTTAAAAAATACTAGTGCAAGAAGCAAATGAGGAGCCATTATTGTCAGATGCAGTTGTAGACTGATAATAGCAAACAGTTCCCTGTGAAGTGAGCACATGTTGTAGGTGCTCAGCATGCTCAGAAGGTGTGTGCAGGGCAGAATGTGTTTCTGGACTGGAAAGCCCATATTTGGGTCTCCGTGTTTAACTTTCTTAACCTCTGATGACTGCTAAATAAAGGTCCCTGTTCTACACAGCTTATTCAATTAAATGGAATTTGCTATATTGTGTAATCTTTCCTCTGTACCATTAATTGCTTTCTATTCTAAGAGGAATTAAATCCTCTTGAAACTGTAATGTCATCTTGTTTTTCTTCTTTCCATATTCTTTCTGTCTCATAGCAATGCTGAACTGCAGAATATAGTGTTAAACTCCAACGCTGCCATGGGTAGCAACGAACTTCAGGAGAAGGATGCCACCGGAGCCCTTGGCCACGATCTCAGCAATGGCAGCAGCAGCAATTTGGAAGCAGCCAGGCGCCTGGCTAAGCGCCTCTACCATCTGGACAGATTCAAACGCTCCGATGTCGCAAAGCATTTGGGTAAAAAGTACGTGCTGGTATGAGGCCTTTGGCCACGTTGTTCTTCTTGCTGGTTCTGGAGGGGTTCACTCTTGAATGATAACCTTTACTTATTTATTTGTTTGTTTAAAGCAATGAATTCAGCAAGCTTGTGGCCGAAGAATACCTTAAGTTTTTTGACTTCACAGGCATGACGTTGGACTACTCGCTCAGGTACATGCCCGTTTGCAGTCCTTATGTTCTTGTTTTAGTAATGATGCTATTTGCTGTGTTGTCCCGATTGAAGCGGTTGCCCTGTGGGGGCTTAAGAGGGTAAAGAAAGGGATGTGACATGTTTTTGGGATGGAGCTTTTCTCTTCTGTTTGGCTCGGTGTGCTGCTGTACTCCAGAGTGCTGTTGGAGCGGTGGCATTTCCTGGAGAGGGAAATCTTTGGGTGAACCTGCTTAGAGATGGTCCTTGATGCAGAGGTGTTGGAGAAAACTGAGCAGTCACTCAGTAAACAAGGGACTTGTAGTCTGCCAGGTGCTGCTGGGGACTGAAGATGTTGCTCACAGCTGAGCCACGTAGACTTTTAGGCTGATGCCTTTTGGAGCTTGCGCTGCCCGACTGCAGTGCACAAAGCCAGGGCCAGGGTTTGATGTGGCTCAGCAGCCCCCCTCACCGCATCCCTCTGAGGCACCCAAAAATGTGCAGAACAGCAAAAGCTTCCACGTGGAAAATGCTGTTGAGAGTTTGGTAGCTGCCAGCGTGGGTGTTTGAAAACCCAGCCCTTCAATTTTCTTTCCTTTTGACACCGGAATTAAGCCTCAACAATGTTTGTTTTCAGTATTTTTTTTCTTAGGAGGCAAAGCAGCAAGTTTGTGTAGCAGTGGCCTATTAGCACGATTGCTGGTGTTCTGGTATTTAAAGGGATTTAAAGTGAGTTTAAATCATCTGGGTGAGGTTACTCAAGTGGGTTATTGTTTTCTTCTAATTGTACAAAACCAAGAGTTCTGCAGGCACTTGCCAGCCCCCTTGCAAATGCATTTCCAGGGGGCTGGCTCCAGGACACTGTGGCAGACCCCAAAGAAAGCCCAGAGTCCTGCCTGCTGAAGTGGTGGAGAGGAAACGTGCCTGCAGAAGTGTGAACCGCCAGCTCCCACAGCGGAGGGAGCGGAGCTGAGCTGCAGCACCCGCTTAGCACAGGGCGGGAGCAGCCGGGATGGTGGGAGGTCTGCTGCCTGTTCCGGGTTTTAGCCACCCTGAAGCATGATGCTAAATATAGCCGTCTTTTAAATTATGAAATCCAACACCTAATTGCTTTGTGGCACATATTTAGGAGGTCTCTGCTCCCGGTAGATCTCCTGTTAATATTAATAGTCATGACCTTCTCTAAAATATGCCCCGGCTCGTGTGGGACTTTTAGACACAGTTTGCTGAGGTTTCAGGAGTAGCCACAGCGACCACAGGCTGCGTGCCCTGAGTGTGCAGCGGAGGCCAGGGACAGAGCATCGTCCCGAAGGCTGCGGGAGCCGAGGCGTGCTGCCTCACGCTTCCAGAGAGTGAGAGGTAACTCCTCTGTTTCTGCTGGTTCACTGACAAGCCGTGGTTTGTTAAGCATTTTGGAGACTGTGGCGGGCGGCCCAGA